GCCTTTGGCCTAAGGCACCACGCGTGCATACGACTAAAGGCTTTAACAAACGTCTCCTGGGGAACATGGCCATCCTTCGAGGGTCCTCAAATTCCCAATTTGTGTCTCTGCTCTCATACAACTGCAACACATGGTATGGTTTCTCTCTCTTCTAGAAAGGGCTCTCTAGACCTACAAAAGAACTCTGAATTGGCTAATGTCCCAGGAGGGGGGGAAAAAGCAGCTGGTAATGATCTGTTCAGAAAGATCCTCCCCATCCAGAATTTCAGTTTCTGTGGTTCTCAGTTTCCCAGAGCTATCTGATGCCCTAAATGTACGATTTTGGTAATTTATCTCTTTCGGGGTTTTTTTGTTTTTTTGTTTTGTTTTGTTTTTTGGTCATTCTTTGCAATGGGAACCGTGAGTAACCTGCTGTGACCTATCAAACCCTGTGCCCATGTGAAAGTTTTGTTTGGTTTCTAATTAGATCAGCGTGATGCCACATTACCTAAGAACGATGATCTCTCAAGGACGTTTGGGGGAAAAATCAGCTGAGACGGTAGAATTACATATTCTCTCCTAAGAGTAAATCCCGTGACAGTATTTTTTCAGCGATGGCTACCATGTGCTAAACCTGGGTCAAGCAACAAGTATACAAATGCGTAAAAGCCAAAGAGTGAACAGAATTGAAGCTAAATGTAATCACCGAGGGTGGAGAGAACAAAGGAGCTAAAAAATGTAGGAGCGGAGGAAGCCTACAGATCCCATAGGAACCCTACTTAGGAAAGAACAAAAGAATGTGGCAGAGGGTCACTGGTCTTTAGCACGTATCAGACCCTGCACAACAGCTGCTCGGTCCGTGATAAGCAACATAAAGTAACACTTAAAAATACAGAGGAGTTTGATTGGCTGGTTCTACCATTTTCCATGGAACTTTGGGCAAATTGCACTTTACCTGTTTGTGCCTCAATTTCCTCATCTGCAAAAGGGTAGCACTGCTTTACAGAGCTCTCAGGAGGTCTGCCGAGTTAATGTTTCTAAGGTTCTTAGCAAAGTACCTGGTATATATCCAACACTCTAAAGTGTTTATTTAAAAAAGAATTTGAGGTCACCTGGGTGGCTCAGTTGGTCAAGCGTCCGGCTCTTGGTTTCCGCTCAGGTCATGAGCTCAAAGTTTGTGAGTTTGAGCCCCACATCAGGCTCTGCACTGAAAGCACGGAGCCTGCTTGGGATTCTCTCCCTCTCCTTCTCTCCCTCGAAATAAATAAATAAATCATAATAATAATTTTTATACCCTCCCTTTCTTGGCTCACTTCTCTCACCGTAAGGTCAGTCTGGCTTCCACAGAAGCTTTCCCAGCCGGAGAATGCCTCATTTCCAGGTTGGTCTGGTACAGTCCTCGAGAAAGGAGAAAAATACCCTTTTGAGGCCGGGGGCGGGGGCGGGGGGGCAGTGGGGCGGTGGTTACTGCTTCAGCATTGATTCCTGCAGGTTGCTTCAGGAATCCAACCATCAGTCTTGTTTTCTGCACTTCGGGGTTTTTTGTTGTTGTTGTTATTTTGTTTCATTTTGTTTTGTTTCCTGATTGTGCAGACAATTGAGGGACCTCTTTTTGCTGGTAACCAGCTCCAGAAATCCGGCTCTGCACTCCCACGTGGGTTCGGCTTCCTGGCTTCTGTGGTTTTCCACCACATCTCCACCTTCTGCCCATCTCTTTTATTGTAGCATTAAATTCTTCTTTTGTATGCAGACAGCAGGCTCACGTGTCCGGGTTAAGGTGTCTGCTCTAGAACCGTCTTGGAGCACTGAACGGCCTTGCTGCTTTTGAGTGACCGCCTACACCCAGGAGCCAGCCGCTATGCCCTGCTTTCCTGTATTCTCTTTTGTTTTGTTGGGGAGGCTGGAAGGGACCCCAGAATAGAGCAGTAGGTATTTTGGAAGGGGGCTGAGACATCTTGTTTCTCAAGACGGGAATGTTCCCGTTTCCCACGGCGATGGCCGGCAAAGGCACTTTAGAACGGCCAGAAAGATGGTACCCTAAGGAAGCGAGGAGTCTGGACGGCAGCACGGCACCATGCCGTCCTAGACCGTCTCTCTGGGCACAAGGTCAGCGGGCACATGGCTCCTGGAAACCACTGCTTTGACTTCCTGCTGCAAAACAGAGCCTGTGCCGCCTCCCCATTGAGGCGGCAGGTACCGTGCTCCTACGAGCTCACTGGCTACGGCGGTGACCGTCCCCTGCCACACCTGGCTCCTGGAAACCAGTCCTGCATTCGTGTGGCGCTCTGCCAACGCCGGCTGTGAACGGGCCTTCTGGAGCAGGGCCCCATCCTTGGGTTAAGGCGCCGTGGTCAGGGGTCACCTTCCCACAGACGGGAGGGGGGAACCCAGCCTCTGGCGAGCCTCGGAGAACCCAAAAGCATCCATTACAAACAGCTTTACGATTGTGATAAATGAGGGGACCGTATGGGATGCCGTAAGAAGGGGTACAGTACCGCAGGGCAAAGGGCAAAGGCACGGCTGAGATTCTGGCCTCACCTGGAGGTTCGGCTCCTGGGCCAGTGCACCTGTCGCACAGATTCTGCTCCGTCGGCCACCTTACTCCGGCAGCGCCTGCCCGGCGGCAGGACGGCGTGCCGACACTGCTGCCCGGAGGCCCCCCTCCCCCAGCCCGACCCGGGTGTGGCTCCTCCCCTCTCCCCCTGCTCACCGCGTTTCCTGTTCCTTCCCCACCCCACCCCCCGCCCCCGCAGGTCATCCATCAGCTGAGGCTCTGCGAGAACGAAAGCGTGGCCCTGCAGGAGCTCCTGGACTGGCGGCGGAAGCTCTGCGAGGGGAGAGAAGACTGGCAGCGCCTCCTGCACCCCTCGGAGCCTAGGGCGCCTCCCCCTCCTCCCTGCAAGAAGCCCACGCTAGTCAAGAAGCCCGACGGGGCCTCCTGCGGCCGGCTGCCTTCCGAGCTGTGGGACTCGACCATGTGAGCGCCGCGTGGCAGGTGCACGGAGCGACGCCGCCGCATCGCCGGTGCGCCCTGCAGCGCGGACCCCGCCGCCCAGGACAGGCCGGCAGAGGCCGCCAGCCCCCGCGCGTGCTTGTGCGCATGCCTGTGCGTCCAAGCGCGCATGCGTGTGCCCAGCGCATGCGCAGCGCGTGCGCATTCTTCCTTGCCCGTTCCGTGGGCTACGCTCCGGCTCCCAGGCTCCGTGGCCCTCAGGCCCTGTGCCCCTCACGTGGCCAAAGAAAGGCCTGGAAGGGTGGGGTGGGGGCAGAGGCGCGGGCGGGGAGGGGCGCGCACGCTGTACCGTGGGGCCGACCACGTGTGCCCCGCGCGCCCGTCGCTTCCCTAGAACACACGGTGCGGGACACACCTTCGAGTTGTTTGTAGGTGTCGTGTTTCCTCGGACTCACAGACCTGGTCACGATTTACATGTTTGCTACCCTGTTTTATAACTTTATGCAATCGGTGGTGCTCCCTTCACAACACACGTTTCAAAGACATCGTTTCTAGAACTTTCTCTCCCCACACGCTTTTCCTTTCTAACCGGAAAGACCGAAACCCCTCCCGACTGTGGCCTCGCTTCAGCCCCGCCAGTGTCCAGCCTGCACACGCATGCGCCGAGTCCCGGTCTCCGTTTCCCCGTCCGGGCGGCCGCGCCCCTGCCTCCGTGCGTCGCGAGCTTCGCGGGCCGCCGTGTCCCCGCCTGGCGTCACCATCGTCACGGGGGCTGGACACGTGCGTAGCTGGCGGGGCGACAGGGTCACCCCCGGCGAGGCCTGCTGCCTGGGGCAGAGAGGCCGCGTGCATCCCCGGTGGCCGTCCCCTCGAGCTGCGCTGCATGGCCCGCCTGCGGTGTGTCCTCACCGCACCCACCCCCCCCCCCCCGCCCCGGAACACCACCGCGCGTTCCTCCAGGTGCGTCTGCGGCCGCGGGGCGTCCTCAGCCGTGCGGTCACGCGGTGTCGCTGCGAGGAGCTGCGTGTTCCGCCCGGCCTCTGCAGAGTCACCGTGCCAATAAAAGGTGCAGCCGTGGGCCTCTGGGTGCATTTATTTGTCGCTGCCGCCGTCTCCCAGGCTCCACCCGCAGAGGCCACGCCGTCTCCACTGCCCGCCGCCTTCTGCGCCCGCGGCGTTGGGTGGGCGCCGGGCCCTGGCGGCTCAGAATGGAGACTGCGCATCGCTCAGCCGTCCTGCCGCGCGGCCTACGTCAGTCGTTAGGGAGAGTATGCTGGTCGTTTAGGAAGAGTACTGAGGCCACCACATCTGGAGGCGGTTCGCATTAAAACGGTTTCTTCCCTGCGGCGCGGAGAAGCCCTGGTTGGGTAGGCGGGAAGCGGCCCGCCCTCGGAACCTCGCGGCGAACACTGTATCACGATGCCCTCGGGGAGGGCCGGGCGACGGCGGGTCTGCGGGCGAGGAATCTGGCAAGTGTGAATCATTTCCGGGGCTCTGTGTTCGAGGCTGTCCCTGGTCACTGGCACCGGGCCCCCTCGCAGGGGCGAAGCGGGGAGGGCTCCGTGGCTGGAGAGGGAGCAGCCAACACAGGAGGCTGTTGACGGTGGGCTCTCGGTAGCATGTGACTGCTCCCCACGGCTGCTCCCCAGGTCCGGGGGTAGACGCCCCAGAAGACAGAAAACGGGGAAGGCAGAGTTAACACGCCGTTAGCAAGCAGCATCACAGACGGCATCTAACGGGGGCGCTCTGCTCCACTCCCAGCTTAACGACCACCAGGCCCCACACTCCCCGTCCCCTCTCTCTCCCTGAGGCCTGACTTCCTGGTCTCAGCCACCAAGCCACCAAAAGAAGCCAACTCTCCTTGATGTACATGGTTCCTTGCCCGTTCCTTGCACTCTGTCGACACTTAATGTCTACACTGATTCAAACTTTTGAACTAATTCCCCCCCCCCCAACACACGCATAGTATATTTATTTGTACTAGAGTGAAAAGTGTTCAAGCATTGCACCTTTGCGAATCTGTTTCGGATGCTCACTGACCACTCGCTATGAGGGCTCTGGGTGCTTCGCCCACGTTATTCCTAACATGGGTATAAACCTCCACAGCAAGTCTCGTCTATGAGCTCATCTTGGATCTAAAGCTCAGAGCTTTAAGCAGGCTGTCAGAACATAAACCTTCAACTTTATGGTTCCGAGGTCTATGTCATCTTAACTTGATATGCAGAAATTTTCTCCTTATTACATCGAAATGTATCTTTAAAATCTTCCGACTCAATGACTCTGGGGATACGGTGTTGTGTGGAACTGTGAGGTAAGACTTCTAGGGAAAGTTTACAGGAAGTAGGCCGTCCAGAACACATGGGTCCAAAGGACACCGCTGTCTATTTGGATAACCTGGTCTCGGTGTAGGGCTTGTGTAGGTGTTCGATGACCCGACTGCCACCTGCTAGAGGCGCCGTGGGCATCCCGGGGCAGTTTATATGTATTCAGTCCAGTAGTCCCTTTGTCTCATCTACTGTTTGTTGACCTTCTAGAGGCAGAGGCCAAACCCCTTGAAGACTTTCTGGAACACAATTTCCCAAGTCAGTAAGTAAGGCCTTTCTGTTCAGTTGTTTGTCTTCTTCCCAGCTGGAGAGAGAGTTCAGGTGTGTGTTGACCTCACCTTCGAGCCGTCTCATCGTACCTGTTCTGACATGACTGGGCAGTCAGCAGATTCAGAGGCCTTAATAGCCACGATAATAGAAACAGTATTAAGAGTCATAATAATATGACATAAAGTCCAAGTCTGTGTATATTAAAGGTACTCCTGGAATGGTTCTTAATGATTACAACATTGTCAACAAAATAAACAGAGGTACTATGCTGGTTAATAAAACACTGAATGTTATTCCACATAAGCCAGATTTCAACAATTACGTATGTTTGCAAAATACTTCATGACGGTATTTTAATTGCTATCAGCCCATAAGGTATGAATTATGATATATTATTGGGCCTGAGACCTTATGTTTGGCAATATAATTGGTATGAATTATTACCCTGTGTTCAAACACTGCCCAATCTTATTGCTTTTTTACAAAATGCTTTATGACTGGTCTCGAAAAACTACTATCAAAATGTTTATAGTGGGTTAAGATGATTTAAAATGTATTTTCTAGAGTGGAAAAATATATCATTACTATTCTCAAATGGTGGTACCTAATTTAGCAGAACTATGATCCCATAAATCTACCCAATAAAAGCAACAACCAATTAAAATTGTATATTTGTAAGTGAATATCACATATGAACATTATATAAGTTGGACAAAAAGTATGTTATGAGTTCCACAGTCCAGAAAGACGGATAAATTTCTGTCAAAATTCTATTGCCGTCAGTTTCCAGCAAGACATCAAACTCAAGTCACGTCACAATAAAGAGCATAAGGTTATTATATAATGACATCTTGCAGTGGGACATATTTTCTCCCTGGCTGTTACTCTGTGCTACTTATCCCCCCCCCCCAACTTTTAAATGTATATCTTTATCTAGAAGTTAGTAGGATTTATTTTTATTTTGAGTCTCATCAGGAAATTTTCAAAAACAACAACAACAACAAAAACAAAACAAAAAAAACCATTAAAATAGCTGGAAAAACAACAACCGTGCTCCAAGTAAAAGCTGAGTGTAATTTCATGACGGTTTTCAAATTGTTTTTAGCTGCACATAAAAATCCCTGTAATGAGGACAAAAGCAATTATATTTCTATTCATGGTGCAATGGTAAATTCTCTGGGACGCTCATGCTTTCCCAACACAGTAGCACTGCTTTCGAAAACTAAAAATACATTCTCTCCCCCCAGTCTACTCCCTTTACATCTTATTCATAAGCAATGACTTTATCAAACAAATTCTAGTACAATGTGCTACCCATGTGAGTTACAAAGATCCCCCTATAGCACGGGGTTGTAGCATGCTGAGTTACAGACTGGAAAGAATTACCTTTGTAGTTCTTTTACTTTACCTAAGTACTACAGACCCCTGGGCTGCTCCATTATTGTGGATCCAGGAAGTTTCTCTAAAATCCAGGAAGCTTTGTAAAACTTTAAAGATGAGTTTTTCAAAGGCTGATTCTTATTAGATACCTCTAATACGTTTCTATTACCTGTTCTAATTTCTCCGATCACTTTCAGGTTTTTGAAAAGCCTACCTATACCTGTCATGTTTTTTCGGATGCTTTGACTTCAGCACAATGCAATTTGGATTTTCTGTAGTTTACCTGATTGTTACAGCGGCAGAAGCAGATCTGGGTGTCCTCTCATAGAAAATAGTGAAGGCGAATAAATCTATGCATTCATTTCCATTGCTGTTTCACAACGGGAATGCCTCAAATGTGCCTTTGCTTTCTTTGAATTAGTCCGGGCAGATAGCTGGCCTATCTGCTGGCTTGCCTTTCTGATAGCCCAAGGGGAATGTGCGCTGCTTCAAAGAATGGTGCGTGAGCCTGCCCAGATGACATTTTCCTGATGTCACCACTTAGTTTCTAAAGTCTAAAGAAAATGAAAGAGAATGAAACTATTGATAAATTCCAAGGGGGAGATCAAAGCTCTACAGAAAAATGAAATAATACCAAATTCAATTTGAGGTTCTGATCTTTTAAGATTTCAGCAAACAAAGGGGCTGGAGGTCCATGATCTCAAACAATTGGTTGGAGTGTGTCTAAATTCTGTCACATGCTGAAGAACGGTTTTCTTTACTGAACCTATATTTGGGAATCTGTTAAACTGAATTCACTCTATCTGGGTCTTGTGTGATAACGAGTAGAGTCATCCCACTCAACAGAGTCCCTATTATGGTCCATCAGCATCACTGTTGAATAAAACAACGAATCCTAGTATTACCAAAGTAACTTGTTGGATACCTTTTTATGGAAGTAGGTTGTACATACATGTGCATTGTCAGGGAAAATAGCTCTCCAGACAACTTTGCAATTGGTGAACTACTGTCATTCCCTTGGGCTCAGAAGCTGTTATAAAAAGATAACATTCCATATTTTTGAAAGCAAGAAAAGTTCCCTGGCAGAAGAGAAGAGAAGCCATGGGGAATCCAATATGGTAAATGGCCTCAGCTCCTGGAGGCCATCAAGGGTCAGAAAGTAGAGAATTTGAAGTGATGTTGTCTCATTACTGATTACCAGGGACACTTACCTTTTAGCCCCGAATGAAAAGGCAAACCCTACAAAGACAGAAGACTTGGTGCCAGAGGCATCCACAAGCCAAACGCTTGCCCACAGTGACTCAAGGCAAAAACTCATTAAATGTACAAGTTGCTACTTCACCCAGTTTTACACCCGGTGGTTGGTGTTTGGCCCAGGAGTCTCCAACCCCACCCATGTTTATCCTCGAGTAGGTTGACCATTTTAGCCAACAATCACAGCAGCTAGAGGCTCCACACAGTAAACCTGGGCTCCTCTTCTCTTTTTCTCCCTCATGACATAGTCCTACACACACTGACCCCAAACAGTCTTCCAGAGACCAACGGTCCTTCCTTCTCACATCCCTAGCCACAGAGCACAGAGGGCTGTGCATAGGGGAGTCACCACCTGCCTAGGAGTGGCTCCTGTCACTTCTGCTCATGTTGCATCGGCCGGGACTCAGTTGTGTGATGACACAACTAGAAGGCAAGCTGGGAAACGGCCTTGCTCTATGACCCAGAGGAAGGGGAAATCATTAGCCGGTGAACAATTAGCCGGTACCTGTTATACTACGTGAGACAGGGAACTCCTAGCACAGATATCTAATATCTGTTTTCTATTTCCCTCTGCGTACAGCAGGTGCTTGGGGCGATTCTCCTTCCGCCAGCCCTGAGTGCGGGACCTGCTTACATCCAGCTGCCACCACCACCCCCCCACCTTCCCGAATGTCCCAAAGTAAATCGTCCCTGGCCACCCTGGAAGCTCATGTAGTGAGGACGGGTAGGAGTTGAGAGAAGAGATGGGAACGTTCTTGCTTGCCCGGTTGCTCCTGCTCTGGGTCTGGCAGGGGACAAAGCTGCCTTCCTCTTGTGGGAGATTCCCCTGCCAGTCTTCTCTCTCACTAAGTCCTGGGCACATGGATGCAGTTTTGCTCCCAGTGCTGCTCAGCCCATGGGCATTGGGAGAAATGCCTCTCATCCTTGAGGTCTTTCTCATCTCCGTAGGAGACTCCATCAGATGGTGCTCTGGGCCTCTCCAAGAGTTTGTCTAAGGACCAGCAGCAATGACATCACCAAGAATGTCACCCCCAGACCTGCAGCTTATTTGCATGGTCTGGAAAGACTGACCACATGCCCTGGACTCATTCGTGCTGGCTCCCTCTGTGGGACCATCTCCATTTTTATCATTCTGAAGCTAAGGGAATCATGACTCACACACGTTAAACAATCTTCTCAACTCATTGGCAGAGTGATATCACCTAAAGTTTCCTCTGGGTAAAACTGAGTGCTGAGAGTTATAATTTGCACTAGACGAGGAACCCACCCCATAACTCACTTCCTCTGCCATCCTAGGAAGCACACCATTCTTAACTCCACACGTCTTTGGGGGAGGGGGGGCAAGTACCCACCACAACTTTCTAGAAATGTGCTCTTTGAAGTCTGGCTTTGGAGAGGGTCAGTAACGAGAAGAGAGGTTCCAACTTGCTTATTTGTTGCAGGAGCATCTCCTGTTCTCTGTCTCTTACGCCTGCACTTCCACTCCCATCTGGGGCGCCATGACACCCTCGCACCTGATTCTTGCAGGAATAACTCATAGGTCACTAGTTTTTGGGTTTTGGCACAATTTCAGTGCTTAAAGAGTACAGCTGATGCTTGAACAACAAGGAGGTTAAGGGTGCCCACCCCCTGACGCATAATATTGAGTCACCAAAAACTGAATTAATAATATCCTGCTCTTGACCAGAAGCCTTACCAATAACAGTTAATTAACATATATTGTATGTCATATGTATTCTATACTGTATTCTTACAATTAAGTAGAGAGAAAAATGTTATAAAGAAAATCATTAGAGGGACGCCTGGGTGGCTCAGTTGGTTACATGTCCGATTTCATCTAAGGTCATGATCTCGAGGTTCGTGAGTTTGAGCCCAGCATCAGGCTGGGAGCCAGTCTCAGAGCCTGGAGCCTGCTACGGGTTCTGTCTCCCTCCTTCTCTGCCCCCACTTGTGTTCTGTCTCTCTCTCTCTCTCAAAAATAAATAAACTTTAACAGAAGAAATCATAAAAGAAAATACATTAATAATACTGTACTCTATTTACCAAGAAACATTTGCATACAAGGGGGCCACATAGTTCAAACCTGTGTTCTTCAAAGGTCATCTAGAGTTTGCTTTATGCTTTGAGTCACACTGATATTTTCATGTATAACTATTCCGGGTTCAAAGTTTCCATTTTCAATTTGTTTATAGGTTTTTACATTATACTTACCACTGAATTGGTTTGGATTTCCATCTCTTAAATCGAGAATAAGGCTTCCCGTGGCTCCTGCCAAGCCTTTAATGCCAGATGAAATGAAGCAAAAACAAATTTGCTCTTGATGAATTCAATTGACGTGCGATCTATGCTTTCAGTATCATCTCTAAATAAGAAAACATAAGAGAATCTTTTACCCTGAGAAGCACACCCTTGGAAAATAAGTCAATGTGAGGAAAGTTCCAAGATATTTAAACTGCCTTTCCAAATAGCAGACCCTTCCAGATTTTACTTCTTAAAAACTTTCTCATATTCTATGTTTTCGTAGTTTATCTAGACCTATGGCCTCTTGGCAGTCTACCCCCCGCCCCCCCACCGCACTTTACTATCTATATGAGAAAACAGGTATACGTCCAAACTGTGGAGCGAGTCATTCATTTGACAGCAGTGGCTATATGGTGTGGCTGAAGCATCCCCACCCCTTGGCCAGAGCTGTGTGGGACCAGCCTGGGACCTTCAGAATATATTGCCTTCCTATGGACAAGTGTTAGAACGTGAAAAATTTGTTCACCTGAGCCTCCATATGTTTAACAACAGAAGAGGTGTAACATTTGCAGTTACCATATATAGTCAGGAATTAAATGAGATGGTAGATGTGAAGGTAGTTTGTGAACTGTGCAAACATTGGTTGCCTAGAGTTACTGCTTTGCTACTTAACTCTCTGTGGATCTTTAAATAGCAAAAGAATACTTAACTTTTGTTTTTCTTAGATGATCTCAGACAGCCCTGAGGTAAAAGAAGGATAAGAATAAATATGTGTCCTATTTGTTATTCTATTTTACTTCAGAAAAGACAGAACTAATGGCCAAGCCACCATGACGTGCAGAGCGTAGGAGTCTGGTATCCATTCACCCACAAGGAGCACTGGGCAGGGCTATGGGAACCTACATTCTGTCCTGGCTTAGTAGTTAGCCTGCCATTTTTTTAAGTTTACTTATTTATTTTGAGGGGGATGGAGGGGCAGAGAGAGAGGGAGACAGAGAACCCGAGGCAGGCTCTGTGCTGTCAGCACAGAGCCCAATGCAAGTTTCAATCCCATGAATTGTGAGATCATGGCTTGAGCTGAAATCCAGAGTCCAATGCTCAACTGGCTGAGCCCCCCAGACACCGTAGGTTGCATTTTTTTTTTTGTAATATGGGGTGTGTGTGTGTGTGTGTGTGTGTGCGTGCGTGCGTGCGTGCGTGCGCATATGGACAGGGAAGGAAAGAGATATATAATAAATTGCTAAGTGATATTCTAAGATGCTATGATTCTTATCATGAGATAAGTGACATTTCTGAGGCAAAAATAAGAGATATAATAGCTAAGTGATTGCTTTGTCCCAACCAGCAGGTATAAAAGCAATGGTAGAGTCCAAAGGAAGAGAAGACATGTCTGTAGTTAGAGACTCAATTTTAAGAATATATACATAAGTTTAAAAAAGAACACACAGAAAAATGACTTCAAAGATTAGCTGTGCTAGAAGCATGAGCCCAGTGTCTTCAAAGTGGCCACTGACACTTATCCCCCAGACGTGGCGTTTCCTTTTGAGTGATGAAAATAAAAATGATTTGGAATTGGGAATCAAGCCCTCCCCTACTGATGTGACAGTGTTAGACCTTGCCTCGGGCAAGCCTAAGGAAAAAGACAAAGAAACACAAGGAATTCAGGGTGCCAGAGCTTATCAAAGTCCAAACAGTATCTTTTTAAAATGGCAAGTAAGGTTGAAAGAATGATTTAATAGGAAAGAGCATCTAAGCTGACCAAGTGGGGAATTTAGGAGCAACGTGAAAAACTCTGAAATGCCCACTTCTTTTGCATTTGTGACGGGGCCAAGGGGATACTTGGGAATCGAAAACTGCGGAGAGAACTGTAAAGTGAAAATGTAAAGAT